AACACTAGAGGAGAAACTAGATCTCCATTAAGAAATGCTGTTTTCACATCCATTTGTTGCAACTCAAGGTCAAAATGAGCAACTAATGCTAAAATAATACGCAGAGATTCTTGTAGATATACAACATAATCACTAGGAATTGCTGATCTTTTATTTCTAGTAGATCTTCTTAATGTTGTACCAATGGTTCCTTGAGGAACTAGTGGTTCAACTAGTTGTTCAGGAGCTTGTTGTAATTCCTGAACTGCTTGACCCGAGTCTGATGGGCTAACTGGCCTATCAACTTTCGTTTGGTCTAAACTACTGACCAAAATGCTTAAGCTGAAGTTGATAGTAGTACACTCATCAGACCCTTATAAGTCAATCTTAGTCTTGCCCACTTTCGATGTGGGACTAATCAGGGATGTTACACTAACAGTCCTCGGGTCCAGTTTCTTCTCTTGTGGATTATATATCCTAACTTCAGACGGACATCCCCAAACGCGCATATGTCGCAAACTCGGTTTCCAACCTTTCCATAATTCAAATGGTGTCTTTTGGACAGCCTTGGTTGGAACTTGGTTTAATATATACACAGCCATCTTTAGTGCTTCAGTCCACAAATATTTAGGAAGATTGGAGTTGCTAAGCATACTCCGCACCATGTCTAATAATGTTCGGTTTCTTCTTTCTGCAACACCATTCTGGTCTGGAGAACCAGGCATAGTGTATTGGGCAACTATCCCATGTTCTTGAAGAAACTTAGCAAAAGGACCAGGTGCTTGTCCATTTTCAGTATATCTACCATAATATTCTCCACCCATATCTGATCTCACAATTTTAATTTGCTTACCACATTGGTTCTCAACTTCAGCCTTAAAGACTTTGAAGGCATCCAATGCTTCATTTTTATTATGAAGCAAATATATATACATATATCGTGAGTAATCATCTATAAAGGAGATGAAGTATTTCTGAACATGTATGTCCATGTCTGGACAACATATATCAGTATGAATTATTTCTAATAAGTCTGAACTCCTATTAGCACCCCTTTTGGACTTATTAGTCTGTTTTCCTTTAATACAGTCCACACAAGTCTTAAAATTAGTAAAATCAAGAGTACTAAGTATCCTATCTTTAACTAATCTCTTAATTCTCTCTTTGGAGATATGTCCTAATCTCCGATGCCATAATATAGATGAGTCCTCATTAATATTACACCTCTTAATGCCAGCGTGAACATGCATTGAACTTTGAGTATTATTATTTTGTAATAAAATACGGTAAAGACCGTCAGACAAAATACCATTCCCAACACAATCAGATTTATATAATAAACGAAATGATGTGTCTTTAAAATTAAAAG